AAATTAAAAACCCCTATGTATATAGGGGTTTTTAATTTTTGTTATCACTTGCTGCCGATATATTAAAGCTTTAGTAATAACTGTTGAGGCCAATTTTGTTTGTCTGTTAGCAAAATATATTGCGAACCACTGAACAAATTTTAATAAAACTTCCAGAAAGTAATCAGTAGATGTACAGATACAGCAGATTAACTTTTGCAGTCAATTTAATTAAAGATCGCCACCACAGCTAATCAATGTTAGCCAACATAAAAATGGTTATAAGTCAGACAGCTGAGGTACTGAGCTAAAATTTGATGTGGTAGTAACTGAGATACATAAGCAACACTAATAACACTCTGAGCACTTCCTGTTTGTTCTGCACTTTGCAGGAGATGCTGGACATCATGAAGTCCATCTATGACATGATGGGGAAGTACACGTACCCCAGCATGCAGGACGATGCACCGAGGGAACATGTAGAGAATTTCTTCCAGGTCAAACTTGTTACCGTTTTGATCTTTTATTCTTAATATAAGTGGAAAAATGTTTTAGTTGTCCTTTTTTTTCTTTTTAATTGTAACTCTGTTTGCTGTTTTCTTTCAGAAAATGGACCAAAATAAAGACGGAGTCGTCACCATAGATGAGTTTATTGATTCCTGTAAAAAGGTGGGGGAGAACTGAGTGGAGCTTAAGCTCTTTGAAGGAATTGTTTAGCATTTTTGTGGAATTTGCTTGATTGCGTTAGTGCCAGGTGCATTATTTTTTTATTAGATTACTCTCATATAAAGATTGAATATCTGAGAAAACATTGTCATAAAATACACTGCATCTAATCACAAAATACTCACATTTTTGAACTGGTGCAGACTGCAAAGTGGAGTTTTAATCTTTAAGAGRGCTGTTWTGCAAAATTGACTTTTTWAAGCTTTATATCATGTTAGTCTGTACCTGAGCTCCTGTCSCACAGAGCACCCTTCCTCTGAAGCATTGTTGTAAAGACATGCTGAAGAGTTCTTCTGTGTTTGWCTGTGTCTCTTTCCTGTCCCCCAACCAGCCGGTCGAGGCAGATGGCCGCCTGTCCTGAGCCTGGTTCTGCTGGAGGTTTCTTCCTGATTAGCAGGGAGTTTTTCCTCTCCACCGTTTGCTCAGGATGGGAGACTGTGATGAAGTGATTCAACGCAGCCTGCTGGTTTCTTCTTTAGATTGTTTTTTTTATGTACAGTGTCCTGAGACAACATATGTTGTGACTTGGCGCTATRTAAACTGAACTTGAACTTGGAATGTCCGAAATGGCAGGAGGTTCTTAGATAGAATTTAAATTTTTTAGATAGCCTTTGATGCAAAGTAAAATTAATTTTTGATATATACAGCATTTTCATAACAACTGAAGGTTACATATTTACTTGATTGTGGTTTAGAACTGAACTGTGTCTGGAAAATACATAATTCAGACAAGTTGTTTCCCCATCTTTATGCTAAGTTAATCTCTGGCTCTGAGTGACATTGATCTTCAAAATACTATTTAAAAAAAGCCATAACATTACCTGTTCTCAATTTGAACCATTTTAATTGTCCTTAGCAGAAATAATCTGATCTTATCCAACTGTTTCTGTCCAGGATGAGAACATCATGCAGTCCATGCAGCTGTTTGACAACGTTATCTAAGGATTTGGATCATTGAGGACACTGGCACCAGGGAGGGGAGTGTGTTTGTGAGAGATGATCAGGACTGAAGAGACAAGATGAAGTTTGTGAGTGTATGAATGTGTGTGTGTGGATGAGTTATATACAAGCTTGGGCTTGTGTCACTGTAGAGAGTTGTGAATCTTGGTGGCGCAGAGAGGCCCACCCCCCACCCCTCGCTCCCTTCTCCTGGGCCCTCGGTGACATTCCTTCAAGCGACGGTGGAGTTTCCCCGACTCCCATGCTCATCGTACAGAACCTTAGTTTCATTCCTGAGCAAAGACAAGGAAGGCAAGCAGTGGGCTCAGAACAACTGACACGCCTAACGATCCCCCMGCCCACCAGTTTTATTTCGACCTTTATTTATTGCCGATACCAACGGAGGAACTTTCACAGCCTGTAGAGGCCAAAATCAGAAGAGAGAAGTTGCCCTTAAACCTTCAACTGAAATAATTTTCTCTCTTTTTTGCGTATTATGTTTTGACATTTTGATTCTTGCCCTGCCTCTGTGCATGTGGGAACACCTCAATGGAGCCAGCAGTGAAGCTAGAGAGTGAGTCTACAGCCATCTTGTGGACAGAAGAGGAAAACAAAGACACTTCTTGAGGAGGAAGCGACCAACAAATTGAAGATCCAAGCGATCCTGTTATCACAGACAAGAGGCCTAAAGCTATGGCTTTCCACGAGGAACTGATTTCAGTATCGCATGATGATGTCACTAATATCTAATTATGTATTTAAAGAGATACTCCAAAGTCTGCTCGTCTGTCTGTTGTTCCTGGTCATTCACAGGTGCCTCACCCTTTGTAGTATGTGTGTGCATGTGGAACAAAAGACATGCTGTTTATCTTACAGGTCAGGGTCATTGCCCTCCTCCATTCAAAGGATTCTGGTAGAAAACGTTTCTGGCCTTCCCAATTATTACAGTCCTAACGGTAGTTGTCTGGTGACTGTTGTAATAGCCTCCCCAGTGGTGTGATAATAGCCAGCGCAATGTGGGAATTGCACTTTAGTTTACAAAGCTCCTTACCATTCAAGATGAAACTGGAATACCACAGTTGTACTGGTCTACCAAAAGCACCATCAAAGGGAAACATGTTAGATTTATATATGAACTTATTGTAACCTGAAATGTCACGTGGTTGTAGCAGGTTCTACCACTTCTAAAATAAAATCTCAAAACTCTTTATCCATTAAATTAGGCTGACTAAATTCCCATGAAGCATTGCGAGCATTTGTGGGTCATGAGGAACGCCGATTGGRTTTTGTTTTTCATACCTCCTCACATTACTTCCACCTCCACTCATTCCTGTTTCTGTGACACCAAAGAGAAGATAATAATAAAAGAGGAACATAAAGTTGAAGCCAAGATGTACAGCCCACCTGTGGGTGAGGGCAAAAAAGGGGATTATCAGATGGGTAAAAGATAATCAAAGATAAATTACTGGTATGAGTTTTGCCTGCACACGGTTAGAAATATTTTTAACCTGAATGTTAAGATCGGATGGATATTTATTTTAGAGCAATTCTTTTGCCTCATTGTGACTTTTGCAAACTCCAAGATGCAGAATCAGAGGCACTCAAAGCGTAATAAAATTTAAAGCAGAGACTAACACGGAATAGCAATAATGTTCTCTGACATAACATCTTTCCACTCATTCCCCTCAAAGCACAGAATAGGGATGCACTAAGTTTTTTCCTCGTTTAATTATTGTTTTGTTAGTGAAAACTTGCCTTTCCATCCATGTCATTTAATTATTTATTTTAAAAATATAATTTTTTTGTATCTATGTTCAGCATAGAAAACTCTTCTGGCTTTTTTTTTTTCATTAAGTTTTGTTTCTCACAAGTAAAACCTGTCTAAACCCGCATGTGCTGTGTCTGGAACAATGAAAACTTACTCATATGTTGTACTGACTGTCTAGTTAGGTACCTTATGGTTGCATTACATATTTAAAAATGTGTATATTTTGTACAGAGACAATAAAAATCACATCTACTATGCAAAATGGGCTGACATTTGAAAGAGTGCACATTGTTGTCTCCTCTAAAAAATACTTTGGGAGTGGAATAAAATATTAAATTTATTTGCCACACGTTTAAAGAAAATTTCAAGTTTATTATTATTATTTATTTTATTGGTCATTAGGACTCATAATTCAAACTGGTTTGAAACATTTTTTTATTTTTCTAGTCATATGTACCTCTATTAACTATCCACATGCAGGGATGCTGATATATTTGATTACAAATATTGTGATATGAGAGTAAGCACAACTTTCTCTAAAAGATGTCTTTATTTTAGTGATGAAATGGTTTGTCTGGTTATTGTCTAAAATAGTTTTGATATAGTAGCTTGAGGTTCTCCCTTCTCCAAAAAGGAACTTTATGTCACTGAAATAATAAGTTTGGAGATTTTAAACATAATTTTTTACCATAACCCTCTTATCTCAGATGGTCAGTCTGAGTAGGAAATTTTAATAATATAAGTAATATGAGTTGTGTCCTCACACAGGCCGATGAACGATGGCCATGCTGACACACAACTGTAAAAACAAACTGGACTCACCTCATTATAGAAATTGAATGACTGGATGAGTTCATCTGTTTACTGGTACTGTACACCATCCACTGTAAAACATTACTAACATAAGGCTGGTTTGTGTTTCTCCTCTTCAAGTTAAAAGGATTTATCTCCAGTCAAGTTTCAAGTCCTCCGAAACAACTATGATAGAAATATGATTAACTTTATAAATTACAAATACAAGAACAAAGTGTGTTTTCGTTTTATTCTGAGTCAATTCATAAGGAGAGTGCAGTTTAATCCATAAAAACCTTGGAAGAGTAAAACAACATTTAGGATCCTCCTGTTTTACATCTTAAATTGTCATAACTTCAACAAGACATGATCTTAAATTAATAACAAACATACATTATACACATAACCCAAAATGTATTTTCTTAAAATAATTTGTCTTGGCGCAGAAGCAGATTTCTTTAAATGAAACTATTACTAAATTCCTACTAAAGAAAGTTTTGTAAGCAATGTAGAAAAACAAGTATAAAAAATAGCCTACTGCAAACAAATCATTGAAGTTAAATATAAACTTACATTTTTCTAGCTCATTGCTGGATGAGCAAAAACTTCCCAACTCTTCCTAGTTTTTGCAACTTTCTGAAACATGTTTCAAAAATGCATTCAGTAAGGCATTCCTGTTTTTGAAACTGACAATGAAATAAGAGTATAAATATAATTCCATCCATGAAGAGTTTGTGTTGTTTTTTCTCTTTTGCCTCAAACAGTGCTGACCTTTACAGTCTTACAGTGTGGTTCAAATCAAAAGAACTTGTCTGTAAAGGAGGAGGCCTTTACTTGGGCATTTTACGAAGCTCTGCAAGAACCCAAATGGCGAGTGACAGAAGTGCCACAGAACCAGACTGGTGAGTTGCTGCGAGTGGAGTGGGGACATACATCAACAGCGTGCAGATACCAAGAGCAACCTAAAGAGCAGAAAAGATGTTTAGTTCCACTAAAATGCTTTCTACCCATGTAACTTTCTGTCAGAAAGCCTACCTGAGTATAAGCCATTGCTGCAAGGAGGCTGATGGCAACCTTTGCCCTTTTTGGTAGCATCATCCTCCTTGAGAACAAATAGAGGCCTGTAACTGCTGCCAAAGAACTGATACCCTAAAAACACAAGGAAAAACTAATCATATTTACATCAACCTGTTTGTACACTGCAAAAAACGGTCCATCTTACCAAGTTTTAAAATCTTATATCCAGCCAAAAAGTCCTTTTGATCTTGTTTTGAGACTGATTTACTAAACAAGAACTGATTGTGTAAGAATAATAATCTTGATTTCAGAATGTGTAAGATTATTTGTCTTGTTAGCCTGAAAATTTGACTCAAATGAAGTCAAAAATTTCTGCCAATGGAGTAAGAAAATTTTACTTTGTAAGATTTTTGAAATTAAAAAAACAGTCAAATCGAGTATTTCAAGAATCTTACCAAGTAAAATTTTCTTACTCCATTGGCAGAATTTTTTTGACTTGATTTGAGTCAAATTTTCAGACTAACAAGACCAATAATCTTACACATTCTGAAAACAAGATTATTATTCTCACACAATCAGTTCTTGTTTAGTAAATCAGTCTCAAAACAAGATAAAAAAGACTTTGGCTGGATATACGATTTTAAAACTTGGTTAGGTGGGTTTTTTTGCAGTGTACAAGGCTAAATATTAGAAATGTGTTTTATTATAATGAAAATAGTAAAACGCCATCTGCTCTGAGGCATACCAAAATCCTGTGGTCAAACTGTACAGTGGTGGGATTTTCAAAGAAGTTCTTAATTGTTGGAGAGAAAGCAAGGAGATCGTCRGGAATCCATCTCTCTGCCATTTTAGGGAAGGAGTTGTACACCAAACCAGCATCCAAACCAGCAACAAAGGCACCTGGGTAAAACAAACAAAAAAACAAAAAACAGAATATCTATTGCAAATAGTTGATGGTAAAGAAATTATTTGTTTTTATAATCTGAATACATTTTAGCAGCTTTTTCATCACATTGCATTTATAGAGAAAAGGTACCTGAAAGAGCAGTTAGGAAGACGAGTCCACCCGTACCCTTGGCAAACCTCCTTAGCTGGATGAGACGCTTGGTTTCTGTCAGCTGTAACGTTTTTTTGGCATGAAACATTACATCACGTAACAAAAATGTGCTAGAGGTTAACTTTCATACGTAAGGACAAAGACATCCTATGCACCTTGTGTGCTGGTAGCAGCATGGTAAGTCCTGTCCAGAGACTGGCAACGTATAGCAACAAGGCAGAGCCGAGATGAGCAGTGAGACGATACTGGCTGACCCGAGGAATGTCATGAGACTCGGGTTTCTCTTCCAGCCCACTCTTAACCATGTACCACCCCAGAAGGCCCTAAGGAGAAAAGCAGAGTTTAATGAATTGAGTTCCCATTGCTGGACAAAAAAATACTTCTAATTAAATAAAGATGTTATAAACAAAACCTTCTTGTTAAAATAAATAAACAGACTTACCTGGAAGAAGACAAATCCACAAAGTCCAAGCACTTTTCCCTTCATGGAACGATTGAAATATCCCTTTCTCCAAAAGTAAACRGTAGGGAGGATGTATGCTAGTCCAACCAGTCTGCCCCACATGCGATGACCCCACTCCATGTAGAAGATAAACTTAAACTCCGGCAGAGTCATTTGATGGTTCAGTCTGGTAAACAAGAATGAAACCATCCTTACAGTATAAAAAATACTTGCTTGTAAAACGCAATCTATTATTTCACATAACTGTCAAAGCTGTTGTTGTATGTCGAGTGTTTGTCAGTAAAAAAAAAAACGTAACACATTTTAATTTCAAAGCTTAATCACAAATTTTAGATAAAAAAAAATTGGTTTAATTTGAAATGTGAGAAAAGTGTGCATACATTTTAAACTCTGGAAACTGCTGGTACTTGGAAAACTCAGCCTGCCACTCTTCTTCTGACTGAGGGGGCTTCATCTCTTTCACCAGATGCCAATCAACCATGGAGAGCCCAGATTCTGTTAACCTTAGTTAAACAAAAGCATACATAAAGTACTTACAGATCAGCATCACTGTGACACTAGAAAAAGTACTATATTCACATCACTTTTAGGTCTTTGGTACCTTGTAACACCCCCCAAGACAATGGCACCGACCACCAGACCGCTGCAGCCGAGCAGCCAGCGTCCCACTATGCGATTCGTGGCTGCGTTGGGGACCACCGCTGCTGGGTTGGAGGGAGCTGCCGTCTCCACCGTGAAGGTGCTGTGATTTCTTCTCAAAAGCCATCGTCGTAGCTGTGGACTTCGCTGATGCCGTAAACAAAAAATAGAGAGAGGACAACAAGGACTGAATGTCTCCTCGTCTTCTCTAATGTCATACATTTTCATTTTTAAAACATTTAAACGATGATTAAACCACTGCAGGCATTTTGAAAATTAGATTTACACTCATTGCTAATTTACTAACTAATCAGAAA